TTAATAATAAATATCAAAGTCAGAATTAAGGAGAAAAGTTATAAAAAGGTCACCTGAGGAATATGTGTAGATGGAGGGCCGTTAGCTCAGAAGGAATCCCTGCTTCTTTTATTTGCTGCTGCCATCCTGAAATTCTTAATAATTTTATCTTTGAACTTGGGTTTTGTAAGTGAAGTCCAGTGGGACAATGAAGCGTACAAATGAGCAGAGGAGACAGGTGCAGTATATACCTGCCCCTTCTGCATATAGTGTTTTCAATGCACTATGAGCACAGAATTCTAGTGGATTTACAATACTGTAGGACTTTAGCAAGACTCAAAGAGAGTATGAGATAACAGTGGTATGTCTATGATTGAGTAAACAAGGGCATTAACAGCCCCAGTAGGTCAAACTTTCTGTTGAACCAGACCTTGCTTCAAATGTAGAAAGAAGGCAATTCTGAGAAAACACCTATGGCCAACAAACTCTATCATATTCTTTCTTACTCATGTTATATTCCTGTATTAGCAGACCACTTATGCTAAAATTGATGATACCAAAAGAAAGAGAAAGATAGGGCAACGTATAGTTAGTTCCTTTTCATTTCAGTCCTTCTTTACTCATTAGTAAGCTGAAGGTAGAGAGTATTGATCGAATGTGAGCAGAAAAAGAAGTGAAACAAAAACAGCTAAGTTAGTTCAGTGTTTCCACATTCTGGTAAGAATGAAATACATATGCATGTACTACCTCCAAGATATGAAATATGTAATGCTGGTGATTCTGCATGAGTTAAATGCTCTTATATTTACATTTACAACTGGAATTGCACAATATAACAGTAAAATTCATGTTAATACTTTAAAATTTTCATTTTCTTTATTTAGTATGATGTGAAATAGCAAATAAAGACAACGTGGCAAGTCAAGAGAGAGTGTGTGGAATAAACAACTTCATATTTTAGTAATTTTAACAGCATTTTTTTCCTGCTTTTTGAACAGGAGGCTCTAAATTTCCCTTTTCACTGGGCCCTGGACATTATGTAGCCAGCCTTGTGTGTAGGTGGAAAAAAAGTACAATCCAGTCCTGCACATTTTGCCTTTTCCATGTTAGAGGTGAGAGGAGATGAGAGATTTATTGTGTGCAGTAGAATGTCGTTGTTAAATCCAGGGTTGTAGAGACATACAGTTGGTGTTTAAATCTTGACTTTGACCTGAGGTCCTTTGACACTGGGAAGGTTACTTATGCCTACATAAGTCTTAGTTTCCTCATATGTAAAATGGGAACAATAATACTTCCCTAATAAGAGCATGTTAAGAATTAAAAGAGAGTATATAAAGTGCTTGACAGATTGCCTGATCTTTTATAAGTATCCAGTAAAAAATGTTATAGCTGTAACTATTATTAGATTCCTGTATACAAAAGAACCATTTTGAAACATAACTTATCCCAAGGTTACCTTTTTTTTTATTTCAGAATATTATGGGGGTACAATCATTATGGTTACATATAATGCCTTTGCCTCGCCCAAGCCAGGGCTACAAGCTTGCCCTTCCCCCATCCCTGTGGAAAGTAATTTGGAGATATCTCAAATAGCCAAGTTTACCTTCTTAAGTCACTGTCCAAATTTCAGGAGCGAGACAATTATTGTATAATAGAAAAAAGATAATGACCCAAAAAACTTATGCGTAAACATGAATTCTTTAAGTCAACACTTTTTGAAACCTGAACCTCAACCTAGCTCCTATTTAAGTGTTCTTAAAAATTATTAAGAATCTTGGATTGAAATAATCTCCAAATGATAAACTATAAACAACACTGGTACTCAAGTAACACAACAGTATATTTTACCAGCATACAATTTTAATGAAAACATTAAACACTTTATGATTTACTGATATTTACATGGGCTTAAATTTCTGGAGAAAATTTTAAAAGGCATAGCTTTATACTCAAAGACATAATGTCCAGTACTCATAAATTCTGAATCTAAATGTTTCCTCTGAGGATATTCAT